GGATTTTACTAGATATAATGAAAATTTATTCTTATAAAGGACAAGAATTCTTAGAAAATATTATTTTGATAGTATTTTCTAATCATCTTTATATTTTTCTTCGGAAAAAGAAAAATCTATTAAAATTTTATTACTACATTACATAAACGTTATCAAATATGAATAGTATTTATATTATTTTTTAATTTTTTAAATGATATATTATAATTTGCCTACCTTTGTTATAGGTACAACATATACTATGTTTAACAAAACAATTACTAATTGCGAATTATATGTACTATTTTACCTTTATACTCGTATTAATAAAACTTAATGGTGATTCTGTTAGAATTGTGCATATATGTCTGTTGCTGTTATTAATTTTAAAATTTAGTAAAATATATATATTAGGGACTTTATGTTGAAGGCTAACAGTAATTAATCAATTCTATTCAAAGATTCGAATGGGAATAAGTGTTTAGGTAGATGATAATACCTTTTGTAGGAACAGGAGATTACTTTTAACTGAACAAGGGTCTTAATCAAGTTAGATTCTTTACGATTTGACCGTTAAAGTTTCAATGAATAAATTGATTGATACGATTTCAATTTTTTTCTGCCTAATAGATATATCATAATTATGTAGATGCAGAAACAATTATAAAACGTACGGAGATTCTGAATATGTATATATGTAGTATAACGATTAGGTATTATTATATTTACAAATCCCAGAGGCCAGAACAAACAAATCTTAGAACATTGCAATGAGTTCAGATAAAATACAAAATAATGCTTTGGGATATTTATTAAAGTCAGTTTCTACGAAATTTGAACTCATCCCAATCCGCTAGGAAAAGCTTTTATGGAAATGTGCGAGTTGTGAAGCTTTTTGTATAAAGTTGCTGCGAATCTGAATAGAAAATAGCATATTTTCCTACATTTAAAGTCAGTTGGCACAAATTCGTTACTTTCTCCGCGAGCATTTGACTGTATAGCACGTTCTCTAGTGCTACAGAGAATTGATTGACTCATTCAGTTTCCAATTCGATTTTTAGTATATTTATTACAAGACTGAAGGGTGCTCATAATCACTAAATAATTATGAATTTGATTTGTACAGTGGAGTACGCAGAGCACCCTCCTCCTTATTTATCTCCCTATTTAAATCACGCCCTTTCTATCTTAGTGTTATTTCCTACTTAGGTATACTTCTTAGGTTGTCTGGAAGAGATCGCTCTTTTAGCGATAAAGCCGCCTCTTATACATTTCCCAATCTTTTCGTATCTTATTTTTTCTCTTCTTTACTGCGTGTGTTCAATAAAGAATATTATTATTATGATTATTATTATACTTTATCCAGTAAGAATAGTAGGTACTACAGAATGTCAAGCGCTATGATTTCTACTTACCATTTTTACTTCTTCCAATATTCTGTACTATTATCTCTTATATAATTGTTAATATTCTTTTAATATAACCTCATCAGACTTCTGACCTGGTCAGTCACTTGGTCATCAAAAGTTCTCCGATGACTCTTCTTGTTAAGCCATCTACTTACTCTACCACTAACTTTACAATGTACCTGTTTGTTAATTTTTCCTACGTGCCCATTTATATATTATCGTTGGAAAGGGTACAGTTGCTAGTATAGCCATAGAAATTTTCTAGTAAGTTCAAGTCAACGAACAGTTTTGAAAGTTCTACTACTAAATTTGTCCTAACTTTATGTAAAGAAATGTATGAGATTTTGTCAAAAAGTTGTATATTCGAGATTGCGAGATCAAAGCTAACTTACAACTAAGAATAGAAGTGAAAATACAGGTTTTTATGAGGCGATTACAAAATAGATACTACTTATATATTTAAAAATAATTTTTATTCGAAGTCGGTACCAGCCGATACAAAGCAAAGCACACCGACTTCGAAAATATTTGATTAGGTATGTATAGTAAATGAAAACTACAATCAGTTATTTTTGACTTTTTAGTGCTTTTTTGAAGTCGGTTTTTATTTTTTTGCTGAAAAGTTTTTATTTAGTTCACGTTTTACGCAGTCGGGTTTTTTCTACCTATGCGCTTGATACACGTGTCTCTGTTTTATTGAAGCTCGAAAATCCTGTTAGTGAAATTGTACCATGATTGATGATGATATTAAAGGTCCCGGTGTTTTGATGTATTATTTACGCGCTTTTTATCTTATAAAACGAATTATGTAAGGTAAAAATTTAACGTGAATTGGATTATTTGATGTAGTAGTTAATATCTTTGTATTTATATTTAGGACGATATTCAATTTTTGTTTCAAATAAATGGTTTGACGCTGCATCGTACACGTGGTGCATATAGTGATAAATTTTATTTTTCAAATAAGGTTGTACGTAGAAAAAAAGTCATCTTAAAAAGACTTGAGAGGTCAAAAACTAAATGTGCGAGAATTTTATTTAGGTACAAGAAAAGGAAATAAATTCAAATAACAAATATACCAAACCCTATGCATTATACGTGTTATATGTGACTTATATATGTTATAAGTGACTTATACAGTAATAATGATACATTATTAATTATAATTATTACTGTATAAAGTGTATAAGTCACACCGGCATGAAATCGTGGCAAGAATGCTAGCTGCGGGAAAATCCTCGCTGAATAAAAATGCCGATTTTTCGGGCGAAAAACAAGCTAGCTCTTTTGTCACCGGTAGAGGCAATAACGCGAGGCGTTATTTCCTTTAAGAAGTGTTTAGTATTTTGACTCCATTGGCATAACTTTGATTAAGGGAGGCGTATTTACTTTACTAGAGTAGTTCCACCTTTTCCGCTGCGGCCCTCACATTAGACACCGTCTCCTTGACACGGGATGGAGTCAACATGTCAACGTATGTAGTGTCCCATAATATATAGGACCCGTCCTCTTCCCTAAGGAATCAGTGACAAACCACCACCTCTCTTGCCATAATCTCGACTTATTCCAGGCTCTTTATGAACAGAAACGTCGTTGGTGTCAAGAGCCCTTTGATGATACTCGTATCATTTAGAGAACCATGATCGAAACGTCTAAACTAGAGGCAAGAGTCGATAAAGTCTATAACAGTCAACCTCTTTTCCACACTGTATTTCTCTTCTGTGTGGTCTATACTCAATGCACAGAACGTATTAAATACTAATGTAGGGAGCAGTGAAAGTAGGAGAAAAGTACCTATATGAGACATAATCAAAAACTAAAATAGTAGAAATAAACATAAATATGAGTGAAACAATTATGCGTAAAATATCATCTAATCTTTTAGTTGATATTAATAGGGCTCTAGCAGGCTTAGAGCAACTATATCACGTGCTAAATAACTTTTAGCACACATGTGGCGTAGGTCGAATGTATGAACATGCGCATTTTATGACCCATAAACAGAATATTGCTCTTACAAAAGAGCTTTTAGGTTAAAACGCTGAGTGTATTAAAGATGTTGGGAATAATTATTAATAAATAAGAGGATATAGAAATCATGATAAAAACATATTTGAGAAGTTGCATATTTACTAATAAAATGTGTTTATATACATGCACCTGTAATTTTTACAAAATCGAGCAACTAGATAAAATTTTAAATATTTGGATAATATACCTTTTTTTTTCGAATCTATAGAAGAAGGAAAACGATCGAGTCCTCCTTCACATATAACATGAAAAATGGAACGAAAATCAATTCTTAAGTATCAAAATCCCTACGGAACCGTCTTGCACGACTAAAGTTTACAGCCTCGTGTTTTTTGCGATGTACATAAAAAGTTTGCGTTTCACTTATCTAGGTAATGTATACTGGATGGCAGTTCTCAAAGTTATTTTTTAAATGAACTAGTCTAGATACTTTGCATGAATAATGTAACTTTCATTGCACTGTATTTTTGTAACATTTTAAGATAACAACAATTGAAAGCTCTCCTTCCTGTCACCTGTGTAATAGGTCCGATAAACATCAATAGAAAACATCATCTATATAGTACCAATATATGTAAATATTTCCTTGAAATATCAATCAATTAATTATTAACCAATATACTTTATTCAAATACATTTTTACAAGCACTTTTGAGTTGTCCATATTACATTTTTAAATTTAAATCAAAATGCGATTCGAACCCGGTCTCTCTCCGGTAGAAGTAAGTGCTCCGGCACATCACACCATCACACAAGTCTTTCGTCAAATGTAAACATAATAAGGGTAAAGAGTAAATATTGATAATATTGAAGTACTCGAATATGTAAATAAAAGTCACATTTACGATATCAATTTATTTATACGTGAAGTGTGTACATTTTATGGCACTTCGTTCTTATTACATAAAAATCTTAAATTTACTTATATAAATAGCGATTAGGGACGACAGTAACGAAATACTGGATACAAAACATATGCATTATACTATTATTAATATTACTCGTCTATTAACAAGGTTTCAGCGCAATAGATAAAAAAATCATATATATGAAAAATTGTACTTATAGAAAAACAGCATCGAAATAGGTATAATAAAATGGCGTATAAATAAAATGTTAATCTAAATGTCTTTTGAGGTAGATAATTTCAAAATAATAAATTCATTTAATGAACAAGCATTTGCGCTGACACCTTAAAAGAATACTCCCATTATCTACTTAATATAATTTGTTTCGGGATTCTATTTAATGTTTAACAGATTTTTGGTTATTTGTCAATATAAAATATTTTGTTCGTGTAGAATATCAATAAAAACTAAAGTTATAAGGTCATATTTAATTATATTACCAAATTCCAATATTATTTTTTCATTTAAAACGTCTACGCCCAAATACGACAGCATATATAAATATTGTTATCGCACAATTGTATATTTGAATTCTAATGGGTTTTACTATTGTTATTTAATTAAACAAATTCACTCTCATGAATATTAAAGAAATATAATTATTTTGTATTTTTTCACGTAACGGTCAGATCATAATTAGTTAAATTAACTTAACTTAACAAATCAAACACTATACTCCACGAACGACAGATTTACAAGCATTGCAACAATATTTTCTAAAGGGTGGTACGACGCAGTTCCTCTCCAACTGATCTTTGGTGAACAGCTCGCAGTACTGCGTGCCGTCTGTATCGGGACAATCGAAGGACGGTCGGGATGGACACCGACGGAGGCGACACCGGCGACGACGCTCGCGGGGCTTCGGGCCGCACAGATTGTCATCTGGCGCAGGGCATATTAAGGGACGATGTGATACTCCGCGGCCGCATGTTGTTGAACACTGTATTAAATATATTTTATTAAGTAAACATGTCGTCCTGACCGAATTTGGTTATGGCGACCAACTTCACTTAGGCTCGCCATCGCGGGAGATATTATAGTGAAAAGTGCCGACATATATAATGTATATCCTGTATAAACATAAAGCCAATATTGCTTTGACTTTCCAACTGGTGGGCTTTTACACAATAATTTCTTGAGAGAAAAAGCCAATGTATATGGCCCGGCCCAGGATTCGAACCAAGGATCTCGGGATCTAAAACTGAACATATTATTATTATAAAGTTATAGTGTAGTAGGTACTAATTACAATTGCACAGTTAAATTCAAGTTTAAACCTTATTTAAAACACAAAACAAATTATTTAAGATATTCCAAACATAATTAACTTCATGCAACTATTTCTTCTTTTCTTGCTAACAAATTTTTAAACCATAATAAAATTCGAATAAATCAAACAATAAAATAAGCGTGTCAAAGAAATCAAATGAAATCAAAGTGTCAATCATTTAATTGATAGGCCCTTGATGCCGTAACTTAATCAATTACCAGTATTAACGACCGACGAGTTTCTAGGACTTATGTAAGCTGTTTAAGTGTTTTCTCGGTCTAAGTTTATTTTAGTTATGTAATTTGTTTTAATAGTTGGATATCAAGATAGATAAAACAATGTTTTTTTTTTAAATTATTGTTAAGAATTTAGGCAATTTTAAACAATGTGGTGATAACTTGAATTATCGAAGTAACAAAAGTGTATCTATGAATTATAATTAATTTATTTTATTGGTAACCTTTTTGATTAAAATGAACTTTTGTTACTTATTGGAACTTGAAAGAACAATCGATTTATGTATGTAATATTATAATGTGACAGTAGATATTCGAAAATAGAAGGCATGCATTTTTAATTAATTGTAATAAAAGTTATACTTAGAATTACGCGAATATCTGACATTTTAAATAAAACTATCTTTTTGGATTTTTTCGCGGATTTATTTGGATTTTTGGTTCCCGACGTTTCGAATGCTTTACAGCAATCACTGACTCTCAGTCAGTCTCTCCCGTGACCATGAATGCTGTAAATATTTAAATAGTTTTATTTAAAATGTAATCAAAGTTCTTGTCAGAACACCTTGTAGCCATAACATTTACTGCTTTATTTAATTTCTCCATTGAAATTAAGAATTTACAACAGTATTTAATAGGGAAGTAAAATATAATTATCTCACCGGAGTCCAAGGCATCTCTTGCCAGTAAACTGGGCAAGGTATCCTATTGCAAGGTTGCTCTTTATCCGGCTTAGCGGGGGGACAGAGTGCAGGAGACACGCTGTGTCGTATTAGCTCCCACCTCGATGTTATACTGCAAACATAAATAGAACACACCCGTTGTAAGTTTTTGATTTGTTTTACAATATTTTCCTTCAATATAATATACATAGTTATAACCCGTACCTATAGGGTTTAGTTAAACATCGTAGTTTAAATCTTAGTATTAGCAGTGTAAAAAAAAAATTATAGACATTAATAGTAGAATAATTACGTATGTTTCGATATATGCTATGTATCGTTAGATATTCTTATATGGTTACTTATAATTATTAATATTATAAGTATACATATAAATGTGAATGTTTGTTACTCTTTCATGCCAGAAAGGTTGAACGGATCTGGATGAAATTTGGCACAGAGATAGATCATAGTCTGAAATAACACATACGCATAGGAACTTTTATCCCGGAAAAATGGACAGTTCCCGTGGGACAGGTTTGTTTTTGTTTTCCTAGAGGAGAATTTATCATAAATTATGTAAATTTATATTTGACAATAAAGATAATATTACACTACAAAAACTATTAACTATTACACTACGATACACTTACTCGTAGCTTGATACTCGTAGGTCGGCGCGTAACATGTGAGAGATGCGCGTTAAAATTCCATTACTATTCGTGTAGACATGAATTCACTAACAGCTACGACTTCTATTACACGGTTGTTAAACACTTTTATAGTATAGCATATGGAGCTTTCATTAAAGAAGATTTTCTTATATTTTTTAATTTAGACTACATAATGTTATAATAACATCTAACATCATGCAATACGTACCTTATCTAGCTTAAAATATTTTTGAGGGAAACTTAATTTGAAAATTATTTCATAAGCAACATCATCTTCTTTATTATTATATAGTGGTTCTCATCAAGCTCTAATTATTTTTTTATTATTTTTTCATTAATGAAATATGAATTAACTTGTTAAATTACAGAATTGATTGGAGGAGAATCATTAGAGTGGAAAAAACAGTAGATGTTGAAGAGTACAGTAGTCTTCACAACTTTTAATTAATGTTTATTATAAAAATAACGTCTACCATTTTGAATAATACTCACAACTTAATTTTTTCTATGACAACGACATAATATACATGATAATATAGTAATAAATTTGGCTTTTTAATATTCCATAGACCACGGGACTTCCCTAAATGCGATATCAGGTCATGGTCTGACCAAGTGCAAGTTGGTGGACTTTACATGTCTCTCGATAATTTACTTAGGTTGATTCACATATGCGTTTATCCTCACATTGTTTCCCTTCATCGTGAAAGTAAGTGAAAATCATTTTGAAGAGAAATGCACGTGAAAATTTGTTGTTGACAGTTGCGAGTGCTCAAATCTGCTTAACGCGCTACCACTGCTCTATACATAATATATGATAGAATAATGTACATACATATATTTTAGAAGCTGACGAAAGCTAGAACAAAACTGAGTATGGCACGAGGGATTCGTTGCATGTTATTGGAAAGCGTCTTCGAATTGTATTTGTATGTTTGAAATATGAGGCAGAGACACACTGCTGTTAAAAATATTTATTTTATTTTAAGAAATTTTGGAGATTTAGACATTTTTACATAAATACTAATCCAAGTTTTCTAATCTATCGTTTAATAGTAATTTATATATGTATAACTTATGAGTTATCAAACTGTAAAATATCTGAGTACAGAATAATTCTTACCTACGTTGATTTTTTATGAAGAAAATTCATTTTTCATGTTTTATAGGTAAGTAATTAGTATTTCATATTTTCGTAAAATCATATCTGAGAACCTCCCCTTTCTTTGAGTAAGATATTACAATTTTGATGAGGATTTAATATATTATAATAAGTACTTAATGCAACTTCATATAATTGTATACCAATAAGAGTCTCTCTCAGGGGTCGGTACCTCATGTCTGAGGATCGTGGTCAGCATTAATGTTACATCTGGAGCGGATGATCTGCCTCCACCGGTTTCTGTCCACCAATATGAGTAATACACACGAATTTTAACTCTTAAAGTAATTTGCTTAGTGTCCCTGTCTCTAACTTAAACAAATGGTTCATAAATTCGTTTATGTAGATTCAAAAGCCTCTGTCGCACATTCGCGTCTGTATGAGTGTCAACTGTATGAACAAGTTTAGAAGCTAAAAGCTAAGTCCGATATACGCTTATAGTCCACAGTTTGAATGGAATTATGTACCTATGTAGAATTTTCGTATTTGGAGTATAATTGGTGATTATATTTCACTATGTAATTCTCGGTTTATATTTCGAGGTTTCGCGTATTATGAACGTTCGTGATGATGTTCTCCTAGCCGATTCCGGCCACGGCGGCCAATCTCATTGAGACTAGCCAACTGCGCAGGAGATATTATAGTGCTCAAGTGTACGCGCAGACACAAGTGCACTCTCTATTCCTATCACTCTCATACTCCGGTGGGACGACCACTCGACAAGACCGGTGAGAGTGTCGGCGCCGACGGCTTTACGTGCTCTCCGAGGCACGGGGGTGAAACACCGCCAACTTCCCAACTCCGGGCTGTTACTGAGACTTGCTATACAGGAAGACTCAATAGCTAAACTTGGCCCGACCCGGGACTCGAACCCAGGACCTCCGGGTGTGCAGCCGTACATGCTAGCCACTACACCACCGAGGCAGTTGTACTACGTTCGTACGTAACGTAGTGTGTAGTGTAGTATTTGTATTTAAGTTCTAACAATTTCCACTAATTGGAAAGTATGTAATGAAAACTTCAGATGGATTTTTAAGAAAATGAAACCAATTTTATAAAAAAATTATGACGTCGAATGTACATTAGTATTATTTGAAATATTTTTGATTTTAACTAGGAAAGTTTGTTTAACATTTTCTATTCAATGATTTATTTTTATATAATTATAATTAATAATAAAATTTGACGAGTAGTATGGAACAGATACACTATATTATTTACATATATACATAGATGATATGTTTTAAGTTCTATTATAACGTGTTTTCCGTGGGAATGAGACAATCCTGCGGTAAAACGTAGCTCATGTCACTCTAAAGCCCTGCAACTATCTCCACACAAAAAATCACGCCAACCCGTCACTTCGTTTCGACGTGAAAGAAGGAGAAACAAATAAACACATATTCACATTTATAATATTAAATTATACATATTTATAAAATTAACGCTCTTCAACTATTTTGTTTATTTATTATACTGTAATTATTTTAATGAAATAAGTCTTAGTTATTTTACACTTTTGTAACTTTATAATTTAAATTTTATGAAAGCATTTAAATGAAGACAGTGGAGAAGCTCAGTGATAATGCAATCATGTCAATGCATGCCAATATGACATGTGCGAATCATTTCCAGCATGATTACCACTTGTCTTACTGTGAAGGGAAACATCGAGAGGAAACATGCATGTTTGAGACAACCTCAAAAGAGTGCAGTCCGCCGACCCGCACTTGGCCAGCGTGGTGGAATATAACCTCATCCCTCTTGTATTGATGGGAAGCCCGTGCCCAGCAGTGGGACGTTATAAAAAGGGTTTAATACAATTTAAATGTAAAGGAAGATACCTTATATTTGAGGGAACACAAAACAGCTGCCGCTCCTGTACGCCGGCGCTACCGCACGTGGCGCTGCACCCCTCCCACTCGCCGCCCGCCCAGGTGAAGTCGCAACTACAATGTTTATGGTTTCGCTTTATTTGTGAAAATTACGCAATAATCATTTATAAACGTAAAAAAAAATTATAAGAAAATAATTTTAATTTTACACTAGTAGCTCTATCCTGGCTTCATCCAAATGTAAAGTGGCTCAAAAAATAATACGTTCTTAATATTTTCTTAGATTTACGCGAATATTTGACACTTTAAATAATTTAATAAGTATTATAATTAAATATAGCAATATTATTTACTTATTTTTTTAAATGTTTAGAAATAAAAATCAACAAATATTGCAAGGTACTTTGGTGCCATTTTTGAACAAAAAAATAATTTTATATAAATAGTCTATAACTAGCGATCTCCGACTTAGAAACAGACAAATTTTACCACAATATGTCATGAAAGCTATTTTAAGAAATTTCAAGTTATCGTACGCAATGCTATTATAATGTTAAATTAGACAATTATATACTATCTGATTACGAGCAAATTGACAGAGTTGTTCAAATTATCTCAGCAAATAATATAAATTCTCTTGCAAACACTTTGAAATATATTTAGTAGACTACAAAGCACTTGTTTTAATAAAGGTCTAACTTGAATTTACGTTTTATGGAAATATTTGACAACATTATAGCGTTCGTGCTATAAATTACATTTAATATCTAATTTATGATTGTGTTGTAAGTGCTTTGAATGTAACCGATAAACGTTTTACTGGACAGCACTGTACGTGTAACCTGATAAATGATAATAAATATTTAATCATACAATTCTTTTTAACTTTTAAAATTTTCGCGTTCCTTATGTAATTATATATAAATTCTTTGTATTTTTCAAATAAAATTGGCTAAAATTTATCTTTCATGTTAGAGCAAGAAAAGCTTAGTACATACAAAACCTAGTTAAGTTTCTGTGAATATAAATAGAACTTATGTTGCCACCAGATGGTGTTTATTACCTACAAAATCTTGTTAGGAAAGCGATTTTATTAATTTGCGCCACAATAGTGCATTGGCGAGTAATGAGAGATACATGTAACATTTTGCTGTATCTACAAAACCGCAACTTGATCACTGTAAAATTGGCTGGGTTTAATATATAATAAGTTGGACATAATATAGATAAGGTAAGATGAATATTTACCTATGTGTATTGCATCTCTCATACCGCGTGGGGCCACAGTGTTGGTCGCGCGGACAGCGCGGGCGCACCGCTCGTACTCCTCCACCGCAAGAAACTGAACACGGACCACGTTCGCTCAACCATCTATTGTAAAATTATTTATTTAGATTAAGAACAAATAATGACATTTTACTTGGTTTAGCTTGGCATATAAAAAATGCGGTTGATCCCTGCGGTTAGGTTTTAAATATTATATTATACAGTTCACCTAATCTCGTAATAATTTTATTTAATGTACCTACTATCACTTATATTTGAAATTCGCATTAGCATGCACGTATTTATTAAATAAATACATATTATATGTTGTACAAAACAAGGAATGTATAGATTATGCTATACAATTTTTTTCTTGTAGCTTAGCTAAAAAATGCAGGGTAGCATAAAATAATTAGCAATTACCAAATGTAGTGTTTCGACCAGATAATATTTATATAATTAATTAAGATTTTTAGGGGAACTTCAGCCATAGTAGGCACGTATACATACAACGTAACAATGATCAAATAGCTATATATAGTTTGCCATATATATTTTTTTGTTTACGGTGGGGAAACTCATCATGGGGACCGGCCGTCAATGGGTAGGGTATTGTGAGACTCCTACTCACTAAAACCCACAGAGGAACACCGCGCCGCAGTGCAATGGGGCGTTGCAGGATCGCTTGCGCATTCACTACACCACCCCTGCGGACGGCCCGTACGCCGCGGGCCAGCCTTGCCTAAATCAGGATGCCCTCGGTTCACAGAGCATCCCAATATATTGTTAGCCATAGCTTAATTGCTGTTCAACTATAAATTATAATGTATAATCACGACGACAAATATAAATGCGTGTTTTATAAAAATACATGTTTTCTTAATAAATTTAAATTATATTACTTAAATATTCCCCCAGAAAATTATAATATTTAGATTTACGGTTTATTTAACGTAAATTGTCAGATGCTACATGCATTATATGAAACTGCGCTAAATTAATTACAAATGAAATGAATATGTCTGTTGGTTGATCTCTGCGGTCACGTCGACGATTAGAAGTGCGGTTGTGATTGTACAAGTATATTTTATATATACATAATCAGTGGGCGTAATAAGTAGTAACAATGCTACTAATTCCATTATGTACTCACGAATACATAGGTAATCAAATATGTAGAGCTTACTTTTACATGTAATGGTAGGGATATGTGCTTGATAATGGTATTGAATCTGTTAATTGTTGGCTATACACTCGTATATGAATTATTATAATAACACTAGCGGCTCACCTTCGTTTCGCTCGGGTGTGTCGCTAGGTACGTTTTAAAAAGATATAAATAGTTATTAGCCAGCGTTAGCCATATAAATTTCAATTTTTTTTTGGTAATAATATTGACAAATATTGACATTAATATTTATACTATACTAGCGTCACTCAATTGTTTTGCCTTCCCGGAACCTCTCCACTAACACTTAAACTTTATGGTAGGGTATTAAATTTCAAATTGACTTTTAAGTATTATTACGAATCTTTTGTATGGGAGTATAGAAAAGTGTTGTTTTTAGACTTTTTCAGGCATTTTTTTAAATTTTTCTCTCCGTATAAACCATCTTCGTACTTCAAGGAATATTCAAAAAAAGAATTAGCTAAATCGGTTCAGCTACTCTCGAGATTTGCGCTTACCAACACATCTAGCGATTCATTTTTATATTATAAGATTATTAAGAAATTTCCTTTTAATATTATTCTTAAACTTTTTAAGTACACAATGGAGTGTAATGAAAAAGGTACAAGTCTAAATTTCAGAACAATTGAATCACTTAATTTATAGCTTCTAGGGGTGTTAGTAAACCATTACTTATCTTTATTTGTTAGAGAAAGATTATGAAGTAAATGTTATATAAAAACTATTCATAGACGATACTTGAGAAATAATGACAACATTTAACTGACATTGAATGAATAACGCGAGTCAAGTAGAGTCGCTTCACTGGGAACGCTCGATATAAGTCGTAGTATCGTAAATAATTTATTGACATTCGTATTATACTACTATCACATATAAATTAAAAGTAAATAAATGAGCTGAATAATATTTTCTATGTTTTTGCAATCATCTGGTTGCTCATGTGACTTGCAGATGCAAGAAACCCGAAAAACAATATACATATATTAACGTAATTTTCTTCTATCTGGGTCAATTACTTATAATACTGAATTAATTTTAACAGAACTTTTTAAAACTGGTAAATTTGATTACTATTTTTGTTGTTTTTTTTTTACTTAAGTTTGTAGAAGGATATAATTATTCTTCCAAACAAAAAACTATCTTTACAAATCAACACATCGTTACAGTTTTTAACAAATCTGATTTGCAAAAATATTTATCAAGTTTGTATTGGCGATCTTTTGTGTATTTTTCAGTTTTCGTACACAATGCGTACGTAATACCTTGGAGCCACTGAACTGATTCAATTATGGCCATCCAATAATTGAATAACAAATTGCAATTATTTAATAAACTATAATTTTAAAATGCGGTTGATCCCTGCGGTTAGGTTTTAAATATTATATTATACAGCTCACCTAATCTCATAATAATTTCATTTAATGTACCTACTATCACTTGTGTTTTAAATTCGCATTAGCATGCACGTATTTATTAAATAAATACATATAATATATATGTTGTACAAAACAAGGAATGTATAGATTATGCTATACAATTTTTTTCTTGTAGCTTGTGTATATTTATGTTGCAGTACTTCATAGTATTTATATTAGCACTTAATATGTCAGCAGCTTTATGTGTCAGCTCAAAATCTGGCGGAAGTTTAAGTTATCTTACTAATATTATAAATATGAAAGTTTAGATGTTTGTTTGTTTGTATGTGTATATGATAAAAATTCGACAGTCTCGGTGTGTTCTCTGTTTAATCCTAAATCTATACATATAATAAAATTGTAACTAAGACGAATCTGTTCATTAAATATTTTTTGGAAAATCTTATTGAAACAAACAGAGGCCGAAATTATGGTTTTTAGAATTTTTGTCTGTCTGTCTTTCTGTTTGTTACCGCATCACAGAAAAACCACTAAAGGGATTTTGGTGAAATTTGGTATATTGATAGCTGGTTATCCGGGTCAACATATAGGATACTTTTTTCCGCGGGAAAATATTTCATTTCTGAGAAAAAATACAAAAACTGCATTGTGAGAGTATACTAATATGTAAAACATAAGATTTTGCTTTTTGTTCATCTGAACGCGGGCGGAGCCGCGGGCAATGCTAGTATCTTTCATAAAAATATTCGTACGTACAATTTTGTGTTTGAAAAATATATCAACTATTTCAATAATGTACAATAAATATATAAAATCAGTAGAAATTAGAGTGAAAGTGTACCGAAATAAACAATACCGTACTTAAAAGCTTATTAAAAATTTTAATACATATGTAGTATAGATTCATGTCCAAGTCTTCTATGTGTATGTCACAGCTTAAAATAGTAAATTACGGTTCCTAGATAAATCTAGCTCTAAGATAGTTTAGTTTAAGCGAAATTGGAACTGTTGGCTAGCTGAGATTGGTATGATATCATTTACTGATGCTACCTACGAGTACGTTTTTCCATTCAAGTTTTGTTTACTCTAGTTCTTTGATGATGTATTAAAGATTATTGTATAATTTATAACTAATACTTTTGTGTAAGTACAATTAAGATTATAAATAACCTGTTGTTTTTTATTACATGTCAATAATGGCGTGTAATTTTTTTACAACTTTTGTGATTTAATTTTATCGATTTAATATTGGTTTATAATTATATACTAAAAAAATCATATGTGTAAAATGACATTACAATAGGTAAAATAAAGTAATAATATATCACATAATGCAGGATTTATTTATGCAAAAGACGCTTTAACCGCTCAATTGATCTAAAGACTGCACACGATACTAGTATGAATATATACTATAAGTCATCCCGCTTTCCCAGAAGGTTTCACTACATTTCATTTTATCTGTATGACGTCAGATTTGATGGGCTGAGGGAGGCTTCAAGAAGGGAAAACGAGGCGGGAGGGGAGGCGAAGGTCACCACAAGAAAAGGGCGCCTTTAAAACCCTTTACATTTCACAAATCTTCAATATTTAAAGCTGGGTCAAGTGACGTCCATTATAGAATGTGTATTTTTCTATTATCGTTATATTTTCAAGGAAAATATGCTTTTATTTGTTTCAATAGAGATGATAATAAAAATATTATAATAAATTCTTAATGTTTTAGATATTAGTATATCTATCTATGTATATAAATATAAATGAATCACCGAAATTTATGTACACGCAGAACTTCCGATCGACTGCACCGAATTGGATAATTCTTTTTTTTGTGTTTGTTATTGTCAGGACAAGTTTTGTATAGAAGAAAATAAAAATTAAAAAAAACACTAAAATAAAAAAAAATCTCATAATATGAAAAGTGAGTGAGTGAAATAGTTTTTATCCTAGAAATCATCCCTTAAGGGGGTGAGAATGGGGATGAAAGTTTGTATCGGGAAGCATTGATTATCAATAAAATTAAGAGACCCCAAAGGGCACAAAAACAAATTAATAATATAGAAGTAGTAAAATTATAACAGAACAAAAAATCGGATAAGTGCTTATTTAATCATCTTAATTTAATGGCCGCTTTTTTTCTATAATAACACGATATTACAATCTTCTTATAATTATTCTTATCTTATAAAGAATAGACTTCGTCAACTAATCACATGACTCTATTCTTATTTAAATGTAGCCGCTATCATTAGGCACTTTTTAAATTTTTATATTCATTACTAATTTCATTTATTTTTAATATGCTTCAGTAAAAATTTACCTTTTTCATTTATAACGAATAATTCATTATATTATATGTATTCATTACTTAATATTTTATTTAGTAAAAATAAAATATAAATATATATATAAAATTCTATCGAATTGTAATTTTTCTTAGAAAATAAAATAAATATAACAACGACACCACTCTAATTAGCTTTTATTCGGCCTGACTCCCCAAGGCAATTGTTTTTCGGAAGATTTTAAAAACTTAACTTAAGGCACATTGTTTTCATTTGCATAACTTAGAATTTGTGTTAACAATTAGAACTTACGTTTTTTTTGGTTTTATTTGGGTTTTATTCTATGATTTGACTAAACATCACTTACGATGCCATTTTTTGAAGAGATATTTGTTAGGAACTGATATCAATAGAAAATTCTATATCTCATAAGCTACTTAACGGCATCAATATTCTTTGAAAGAATATTTTGTGAATTCTTGTACCTCATGGTTCAAGTGTAAGTTTAAAAGCCTCTATGGAAGATCGTAAAACGTTTCAAAACTTTAATATTTTCGAATGAATTTCAAGCCATCATATAATTGGCCACACAAAATTTATATATATATATTCTAAAAGTTTAATTTTATATATACGACTCACTTCCAGCAAATGAACATGGATGAATGTTCTAGTACCTCTACATATCTACATTAGTATATAACAAATTTGGGTTCTTTTGGGACTAACCCAGATTTGTACTCTTTATGTCGGAATTATTGTATTACTGCCTAGATATTTGAATAATTTTGGAAGTGGTTGACTTTTGTGTTTCGTATTATTTTATTAGGCAATACTGTACGTTGGTGCATTTCTAAAATTACTATTGATTTTTAGGAGTTTAAGAACATTTGAATTCATTTGTTACGTTAACAAGAAATGAAATTTAGTTAAATAAAAAATCTGTTAAAAAGAAGCCGTCTGTTTTTGAGTAATTGTGTATTCGAACAGACAGAAAAAATGTAATACAAGAGGTTTTCAAGATATTTTGTAATATTTAAGGTTATTTTTTTTATTCTCTAACAATATTATAATATTATAACACGCTCAAAATAGGTACTGATGGGTAAACGATAGTTAACATATGTGAACCGCAAACCACGATGAATTATTAATAAACTAAAGTAACTCAGTAATAGCGTTCAGTGCTACTTGTTTCATAAATTCCCTCAAATGTTATAAAAGGAATTGTAGATAATTATCTATACATTTAATAAAATTCTAACTAAGTCGAATCTGTACATTAAATATTTTTTGGAAAATCTTATTGCAATAGACATTATTATCGATACAGAGGCTGAATCTATAGTTTTTAGAATTTTTGTCTATCTGTCTGCATGCCTGTCTGTGTGGTGTATGATTTTGATGAAATTTGGTATGGTGATAGTTGGTTATCCGGGTCAACATATAGAATACTTTTTACCGCGGGAAAATATCTCATTTCTGAGAAAAAATAAAAATACAAAATGCAATGTAAAAGTATACTTATATGTAAAACCTAAGAATTTGGTTTTTGGTCTTCTGAACGCGGGCGGAGCCGCGGTTAATGCTAGTTTTGTTATAAAATTTTGAAGTGGGCTTGTAGTATTATGTTGTACGTAATAATTATTCATTACATACGTGTAATACGTAAGCACAGTTGCTTAGGAAATATAATAAATTATTTTCTTTAATGTATCAATTGACTATAGCATCATTCAAATGGAACGGCAAATTGTAAAGAAAGAAAGGGAAAAAAGTTCTTCAAAGATTGATTGCAAATTGTTATTTTGAATGAATTTTACGTGTGAGGAACACGCAGCTAGAGAGATCTGGATCTGGAGATTATTTGTATCCCAAATTGAGCTTATCTAGACGAAAGTATTGAGTACCTAAAAATCAAAATAATAGTACATACGTATGTATATAAAAAATCATGCTATGTATGAAGATTGTTTATTTAAATATTCTTTTAACTTTTGGATTCTTAATTGATAGATATTATGCTTAAATTTCACAAGTTTTTGGTTTCTCATTTTTAAGTTCATTAATTAAATTTTAAAGTCAAAAAGATATTTATTATTATATTACTTTTTATTTATATTAATATGTATATGTATATTTGTTTTTTTTTTGTTTTAATTAATTTGACTCAGTAAATTTTCGCTCCTTAATCCTCAGCGTAATTCTTAATATTATACTGTTCTGTCCATATTTTAATTAGGGTATATTTCTATGTCATAGCACTGTTAATTAATAATATCTACAAATCTACTAGTGAAAAGACACTAGTGACATTAACTGTACCTGTACTCCATAGGTCTGGTGCGTCCGGCAGGCGTGCTGTAGTTAACAGACACCTCTACAGCGACTATTTCTTCAAGCGGCTGCATGGGAACCGCCTGTGGCAGAAGATATGGCTATATTATTATAATATAAGAATTCATATTCAAATGTTAGGGCCGAGTTTGTACTATGAATATATTTTGAAATAGCAATGCTAGAATATTTTACTATTCAATAGCTTGCAGATGTTAAGAGACCTTTCAATAAATTGTATCTTACTTTTTAGCTTGAATTTAAGCTTAGAGCTTAGCTGCTTGTGATAGTAACATAAAGTATATTTCATATAAGATTATTACAATTTTCAGAGCTATGGTACCTTAATATATAAATTACATATAACATATTATGTATTAGAGAATATTATAACAGATGCTCAATAAGAGGTTTATCGTTTTATCTCAAGGTAATCATAATTTTAGCAATTTCTTTGTGAATAAAATAGTGTATTAGAGATTTTTCTTACATATAAAAATATTTAGTTATTTTCAGGGTCCTTAATCGGAGATATGCTATAAAAGTAACACAAATATGATGTCTCAGAATAAATCAACATAAAAGAAGGATCGGCGTATGAAGTTTGTGTAGCGAGTACTAATTAACTTCAGTAGACGAGTTGAAAGCGTCCGTGAATAATTAAAGCGCCTCCGGGCCGGACCCTCATCAAATGTTACGCTTCGCTTCACGTCACATATAAAAAAGTATACAGATTCCCTTTTGTAGTAGATTTTTGTTAGTTCTCTGAATTGGAAAATGCTTGTATTATTAAGAATATTAGAAAAAATATACATTTGTTGTTTATTGTGTTTTGACCAAGATAGCAACATGTTAAAATATATTAAAAATTAAATGGGTTAAAGTTTAAATTAGTGTTTTAAGTCCTTTAAGTCCAGACTCTTTATTTTATTAAGATTTTTTCGGCTATACACGCTTAGAATATAATAAAAAAATAAAGTAATACAATATACAATCTTCAATATTTAACAATGTATATTTTTTAAAATACTTTTTATTCAAAGTATTTTGAAGCTCAATTTTTGCCCAATTTGATTTACATTTTATTTAATCAACAATTTAAATTTATTTATTGCTCGGAAACTGGAGTCTTTTATGAAAATTTAGTGACACACTGACTGCAGCGCCACTTTCCGGATCCATTTGTGAATTCAAATCTTACAGGGACGCACTCGAATATATACAAAAAATATCATTAAAATCGCCCTGCCGTTTAGGAGATGATCAGTGACACACGACTGCAGCGCCACCTACTGGGTCCATTTGTGTTTTCAAACCTTGCAGGGACCCACTCGAACATACACAAAAATATCATTAAAATCGTTCCTGCCGTTGAGGAGATGATAAGTGGTACACGACTGCAGCGCCACCTACTGGGTCCATTTGTGTTTCCAAACCATCCAGGAGCCAATTGAAATACACACACACAAAATTCCATCCAAATCTGTCCAGTCCTTTAGGAGTAGGTTAACAAACACACGTACAAGAATTATATACCTATAGAAGAGATTATATAAGAATATGTACTAATATATAGTCTATCTATTCTATACAAACCGTTAAGTATATAATGTAGTTAACATTGAATAAATTTAATATATTCGAGAACAGTTTTAGATGGATTGTAAATATTAGTAACATTTTTGTTCATAAAGTCAAACATCGCACGGTGAACAATTTAATGGCAAAAGTTTAAGACCCATTGATATTTTCATCTCAATCAGAATAACAAAGGAGGACTCACGTATATTATTTTACTGACTTCCCATTTTCCATATAATGAGTTTAACGAAAGTTACAAACAAAAAGGTAACAAAATATGAAAAAGAACAGCTAGAAAGAAAAAAAAGAAAGTACCTACCTACCTGAATAGGTCAGGTTATATAGAACAAAATAATTAGAGATATCATTATAAAGGATAATTTGTTGTAGAGTTTTAATACGAGATCTTGTCTTTAGTTTTACTCACTTGTATATTTAATTTAATCGATATTACATATTACTACGCGTATTTTATGTAGCTTGATTGTATGTAGAATTAAATCTTATTTAATCCGCTTAACCGATTAAAGCAAAGAATAAAATCATGTTTGACGACCCGTTTGGCTCAGTTTGTAATGACCCTACTTACTGTGCCAGCGGTTGCGGGTTCGAGTCCCGCTGGAGGCATTCATTTGTGTGATGTGCATGAATGTTTGTACTTCAGTCATGGGTGTTTATATTTATAATATGTATGTATTTAAATTTATATATATGTAGTGTATCAACTATCTGGTATCCATAACACAAGCCTCGTAGCTTATCATGGAACTAGATGGTGCTGTATGTTACTGTCCCAACATATTTATTTATTTATTTATGTTTATGCTTTTAAACAGGCAGACAGAACTGTTTTCACAATAATTGTACATTATGGTAGAAGTATAATTGCCAAAAAAATCAATATTCGTAAGTATTATTACAAATCATTATTACGTTGATATCTTCCTGACCCAATTTCGTTTACGGCGCCCAATCTCAGTGAATCAGCCATTTACGCGGGAAGCTCTTTCCTCTCATCTGTTCACGCAGATTTTTTTTTTAATTTGTGTAATCTACGTATTTAAAAACGGGCCTAGCTTCGTAACGGTTGGATAAACAATGAAAATTAATTTTAATTGGTTTATATTTAAAATTATTTACTTACCCTTGCTTCGCTCGATTGCGCTCCTGTTGCGGGTACGTTTTAGATAGATATAAATAGTTATTAGCCAGCGTTATCCATGTATTTTTTTTCCGTGAATTTTACTGATGCTTTGATAATTATTCTGCTAGTCAGGGCGGAAACAAATCCAACAAATCAAAGATCATGAAAATAACCCCTTAACTAACTTTGTATTATTTATATTTAAAATTATGCATTTGCATTATTCTACGTGTCTATATAAAGATGATAGCCATTATTCATTCTTAAGCATTAATATAAATATACACTAGACGAAAGATTATAGATTTCATGGTGAGAGCTAACCTCACTAATCATCCGCATAGGTCTTTTCAATTTTATAGTGTTGACAGTTCAGAGTGCGGGTTCGATTACTGCTACATCTTAACCAGGAAAAATCTAATAAATCTCATATACAGTCATATAGGTAAAACCTTGCTTACACTACTAAAAACGAGGTACTATAACATTATAATTTATAAACAAAGCTTTCGATAACTTACCATAATCATCAAATCAGTCTGCAACCTGGATATTGCAGATATCGACACATCCGTTTCCGTTTGTTTCCAACGCAATATGCTGCCAGCTGCCACCACTTCACCTTCCAAGCCGAAAGGTTCGTCTTCCTTTATATCAATCACATTGCTGTCAACTTCTATAATTCTCAGATTTTCAGGCACATTGGGATCATATTTCAGATAGTTATCCTGCCTATTATCCAGTTCGAAGTGTTTTGAATGGTATTTTAGTTCTAATATGGGTCTGTCCCGACGGCGCTCTCGTATTGCGATATTTATTGCTACTGGAGTTGCAATATGTACGGACAGTTGGTTTGCCTCGTGAGGAATTACTGTTAGACGCGTCCAACCTAATTAATTACAAAATAAAGCCTTAATAAATAAGACGAGTAAAGATATTTTTCTAATATTGTTTGTAAAAATTAAATATCAGATTTTATGTTTTAAATTTCTTGTTTGTATGTCGCAAAAAAAAGGATGATCAAAATTAGTTTAAATGCTTTTTTTTCAAAAATTATATACAATACAAAAGATATTTTTGACATATGAACAATCTAAGATTTGTGCCTTACCTTTATTGAGCTGTCGCGTGTATACATGAGTGTTGTTGTTGCAGTAGCCATCAGGACACCAGTTGCAAACCGGATCAGTTCCATTGCACTGGCCTTTGACACATGTTCCCTGAAATATTGTATCTTAGGTTAATATATTTGTACTTTATTATTTAGTACTATAGACGGTATTTTGCTTTTATAATTAATAATAACTAAGCCGATTTTTTTGAAAATCTTATTAAAATAAACATTATTATTGATGCAGAGGTCGAATCTTTAATAATATATATAAATAGTTTTTAGAATTTTTGTCTGTCTGTCAATCTATCTGTTACCGCATCACAGAAAACCATTGGAGGGATTTTGATGTTTGGTATGGTGATAGCCGGTTATCAGGGTCAACATATAGGATACTTTTTACCGCGTCAAAATATCTCATTTTAGAGAAAAAATACAACAACTGCAATGTAAAAGTACACTAATATGTAAAACCTACGAATTTGGTTCTTGGTCATCTGAACGCGGGCAGAGCCGCGGGCAATGCTATTGAAATAATAAAAGGCCTTTGTGTATGTTCCATACATTCAGATCATCTCTATTTATGGAACATGTATATATATCTCCGTCTCAAATATAACTTACAAATGTTTTCATTTATAACACTAGTGATTAGTGTGATTTATAAAATTTATATAGAACTTCGTGATTAAACTCTCATTTCATATGATATTTCATATGATAAAACATGTAAGCATCTATTAGATATAAATTTCAAGTGGAAGTGAACTAGAAAGCGCTGATGCTGTAGCTTACTGCTTAAGGCAATACTGATTTAATAAGTTTCCACTTCATAGCACTTAGAATTAAATTTGACCCAGATAGAGTAGATTGTTCTAAAGCTTTTTATACTTATTCGCTACGTTTGTTGGTCTTTCAATGAACTTAATGCAAGCATATTCTGCTCGTACAAAGTGTGTTTAATAAAGTGGAATTACGTTTTTTTTTTACAACTACCAATAGTTTTACTAACAAAAGATTACTTTGCTTTCTTATTTCTCTAGAATCTATAGTTGGTTTTTTACTTTACATCGATGAAGAATCGTGAAGAATTTAGAAGTATGTTCGATATCGTAAAGCACATTTTCAATATTGCAAAAATATCTTATGATACATTTTAAGGAAATATTAATATAATAAGAAAAAATAAAATATTTTACCTGGTAGCAAATATCATAAGGTCGATCGTAGCTGCAAGATGTTCCATCTGGTAAAGATCCAAAACTGGTCGAGTTTCCTCCTCCATAGTCAACGCACCAAATCTCACAGTGCTTTGATTCTAAAACAACAGCATTCTTGTACATATCAATGTATAATTTACATTTATACAACATGCATAATATGTATATCGTTTACGCTATAAATTATTAATTTTATATTGAAGTGGGCTTGGATGGTGAAATACGATAATTTGTGTTGCCTATAAAAAATCTATTTCTATGATATAGTAAGTAACAAGCATCAAATTATAAGAAAAATATTATATATATGAACTCGACCAAGTCTTCGCAATAACAACTAAGTAAATTATCTTTCAATCAAATGAAGGAAATTTTTTGTGATTAAAAGATTGATATAAAAATAGATATTGCTTTAACACTAAGTAAGTGCCTTAGGGTTAAAAAAAGCAAAATATAAAAACTTTTTAACAAAAAAATAAAAACCGACTTCAAACAAAAGCACTAAAAAGTAAAAAATAACTGATTGGTAGTTTTCATTTACTATACATACCTAATCAAATATTTTCGAAGTCGGTGTGCTTTGGCTAAGTAATTAAAGCCTACCTATTAAATACATACTTAATCAAATATTTTCGAAATCGGTGCCAGCCCATACAAAGCAAAGCACACCGACTTCGAAAATATTTGATTAGGTATGTATAGTAAATGAAAACTACCAATCAGTTATTTTTTACTTTTTAGTGCTTTTGTTTGAAGTCGGTTTTTATTTTTTTGTTAAAAAGTTTTCACAAGTGATCATTGAATTGATACAATGTGTAAAAAGAAGTAAATAAAAAAAAAAATTATTTTTCCCTTTTTAGTGTAGACAGTAGTAGCAAAGTAAGGATTCTAACGTGTTAGGCTTGTCAAACCAAACAAAATAAGCCCAAACTCAAAGTATCTACTATTAGTCGTTGAAGAGTTCCACCTATCCACCTTCTGGCCTTACCATCAGATCAGGTCAACAATACCGAACCACTGTACTATCGACGGAAATAGAAACACTTGCAAAGTTTCAAGTCAATATGACAATTAGAAGTAGGTTAAATTCATTATTAGCTATTTTTCCACCCTTAGGGGTGGTATTTTTTTTTGAAATTTAAATGGGACCAATCTGGAAGTATACCCTTTCAAACAAAACAAAAATTGTCCAAATCGGTTAATAAATGACGAAGTTCTGAGGTAACAAACATAAAAAAAAAAAAAAAAAACAAAAAAAAAATACAGTCGAATTGAGAACCTCCTCCTTTTTGAAGTCGGTTGAAAATACCTAAAAACGTCTATGTATAAAAGATGAAAGATTTAATTTTAATGATAGAAAGAAGTGTAATTTATTTTTTCATATTGCTCAGAAAATTGTAAACAAAAAATATGTATTTAATTTATGTATGTATGTATTACATACAATATTATTAAGATGTACTCTTTAGTCTCTACCTGCGTCTTTACGGAACATACATATGATGTTCTCCTGACCGATTTCGGCTACGGCGGCGAATCTCATTGAGACTAGCCAGCTGCGCAGGAGATATTATAGTGCACAAGTGTACGCGCAGACACAAGTGCACTCTCTATTCCTGTCACTCTCATACTCCGGTGGGACGACTACTCGACACGACCAGTGAGAGTTAAGGCGGCTTTACGTGCTCTCCGAAGCATGGGGCTGAAACACCGCCAACTTCCCAACTCCAGGCTGTTACTGAGGCTTACTGTACAGAAAGATTCAATAACGAAACTTGGCCCGACCCGGGACTCGAACCCAGTATATGTCTTTGGAATCCTTCTTTAAATCTCATTGTTATTATAACTTTCATTATTTAACAGAACTTTGTGAGGCTGTATAATTTTGGCTTCTTCGAAGAAAAGTAAATAATATATTTCAACAAGGCTCTAAGCCTTAATCTCCAAAATGATGCTACGGGAGATGAATATTTATCAAAGCGAACTTTCAAATCCTTAGGTATTAATTTAGTTATTAATGATTTTAGTGTTTGTTAAAGCGTTTTTATATTTTATTCAGTATATTAATATTCTACCGTTTGATCTATAACTTCAATATTTCTTACTAAATAGATCTGGTTATACAAAATCGTAGACAGGGCTAACTAACTCCTTAAGTTCTAGTACTACCGCTCAAAATGTTATTGAGGTGGAACGCAGTAAATTTTACTTCTTGGCGACAAACAAATCTATAAGATTAAAAATAATGTACCTATAGTTGCCATTTAGATATTTTTATAGATATTTTAAGGCTGAAATTAAACTTAAGAATGATGTCAAATCCATTTTTCATCGTGCTTATGAAATGCCATACTCTCTAAAGCCTAAGGTTGAAGAGGAGTTATCAAAAATGGTAGAGTCAGGTATTATTACTAAAGTCAGTCACAGTCAATGGGCGAGTCCAATTGTCGTAGTTCCCAAAAAGAATTCAAATGATATTAGAATCTGTGTGGATTTAAAAAAAAAACCTTGAATAAAGTAATAGATATTGATCACTGTGTCTTACCATTACCGGATGACATATTTTCAACTTTAAGTGGTAGCAAATGTTTTACAGTGTTAGATCTGAAAGGAGCTTTTCAACAACTAGAAATAAGTGATTCTTCTAAAGAGCTATTTACAATAAATGAGTATTTAGGTCTTTTCCGTTATAACAGTTTTGGCTTAAGATATGAATATTATTATTTTTATAGATATTAGATGTTAATAAATTTCTCTGAGTATCTCTATGTACGCAGGATATATAGCACAAATGCTACGGTGATGATTAATACTATAAATTGCACGACAGAGATATGATATTATCATGCTCTGCACGACAGAGACGTCATGCTCTACAATCATATAAGCTAGTCACTCTACTAACAGCAGGGATAATTAATAAATTATTAGATTAAAAAATAAATACCAATTAACCAAAATACGCAACCGCAAATATGTAACTAATTATAAGCCCGAATTGGTAATTCAATAATGCGGTATAAACCATAATTCATACTAATATTTTAAATGCCAAAGGAACTCTGTCTGTTACTTTTTCACGCTTACTCCGCTGAATCGATTTAGATGAAATTTGGTATGGAGATAGTTTGAGGCCCTGGGAAGGATATAGAATAGTTTTTACCCCAAAAATTATCGCATAAGAACGTGAAAAGGGGGTGGAAGTTTGATGGGGAATCAAACATTTCTCAAGTAAGGGACATAAAACTCATCATATTCTATAAGTCTATACTAAGCGTCAAAATGTACCTAAATATTTAAACAAATAATTTTCAAAATGTTCAGTCGAAAATCGATATCAACACTCATATGAATAACTACATAGTCGAACTCTATGGTCTAATAAGATCTGCTCAATTGTCGATAAGCTTATTAATTTGCATGCCTTTACATCGATAATATACTGTTTGTAGGCGGTGATGACAAATTGAATTAATGCCATGTCCTCGCGTCATGTCTAATTAATTACTTGTTAATGTTAAGGGAATAACAATAGGCCTATTGCATCCGCTTAGTTGAATCACTATTAGCTATTTAGTATCTTAAAATAGAATGCTTACGTATCTTACTGTTACTTTAGCTTACCTACACAACTTAGCCTGACTTGTAGAGAAAAAAACTGCAGGGTAAAGGATTAATTGTTGTCTTAAAGCTTCTAATCTATTAACAGTGTTTCTGGTTCATTTTATAAGTTTACGGTGTTAGTAAACTTTGTTATTTGTTGTTTTCATTGTTATAACTACAGTCAAGTCCAATTATCCATTCTAATCTCGTTTGTTCATTCATTTTCAGGTGAATTAATGGCTCGCTTATTAGTAATCCTGAGTTTGATTTCTTTAGTACATATACAATAAATGGAAAAAATTCTTAGGAAACATGTATAAACTATGATAAAAAATTTCACCCCAAGTAAAAATTGACCATGTCATCTTGACCACATCGATTTTAATAGTTTTGATAGTATTCTTTGGGAGCACTATCTTAAACCTAAAAAAAGTACTCGAATAGTCAATACTAGCACGTAACCATGTCTATAATGTACTGTGAATCATCATACCTTCATGATGTAAGTACGGTATGAGATGGCTAGCGCGGCGGTAACACGCGTCTGCGCGGGGGTCGCGGGAAGCGCACGGCACGCCCGACCAGCACGTCGCCGCCTGCGACCCGGCGCCCTCACAAGCGCTCTCCATCGTGCTACTGACAAAATTGGAAATGTGATGTACATAATACATTTTAATATAGCACAGAAAATACAGTGAGATTACAAATAGACTTAATAAAAATTATCTCTATTATAACGTACGTATGTATCTATGGTCTATGTACATATGCACTTTATTGTTGTGTACTACTAATATATCCACGTGAAATTGTGGCATTGGCATATGTCACATGGGAAATTGTTGAGCAAAATTCAAGCGATCTATATTCACATATTTTGTAAGGAGAATAGTAAGTAAACTTATGTATCTCACAATGCTATTATGAACTACCACACAATTAATAAATACTGACCTAAATTATATTCAATATTAACTTTAAATTACAGTTTGAGATTTATATATAGTATAGTAGATATAGAGTAGGGGTGAATTATTATTCTGTTTGATCTCAGTCGTTAATATAAATAAATGCTTGGCGTGATTCTCAACTTTTTATTGATGTTTCATACAAAAGTAATTCTGTTTTTGTATAGAACATCAAAACATTTATTTTTACGGTGATTTAGTCTTAACCTAAAGCGGAAATAGATAAAGCCCATATATTTTTTAATATTTTAGAATATATATTTTTTTATATTAAGAAGATATGTTTCATCTATTTACCCAGCATGTGTGCAATGGCGTACGCGCGTGCGCAGGCCATATCCGCATTCAGCACTGCACTTGCTCCACTCACTCCACTCTCCCCACACAGCTGGTTTCTGCTCTGAACCTTCTTTATTTTCTAGAGTGTGACCCGGCATTGGCTCACAAACGCGATCGACGCACCACTGGACAATTTATAATAATTATTATATGCACAACAATTAAAATCACATATATTTTTTTATAAAATAGAATAGAGATGAACAAAGAATCCATCGCTCTACTTAATTGTTAGTTTTCTTTCTATACTTATAATAAAAATGTAACTAAGCCGAATCTGTACCTACATTAAATATTTTTTGGAAAATCTTATTGAAATAGACATTATTATCAATGTAGAGGCCGAATCTATAGTTTTTAGAATTTTTTGTCTGTCTATCTGTTTGTCTGTCTATTACCGCATCACAGAAAAACCACTGGAGGCATTTTGATGAAATTTGGTGTGGTGACATATAGGATACTTTTTACCGCGGGAAAATATATCATTTCTGAGGAAAACTACAAAAACTGCAATGTAAGAGTATACTAATATGTAAAACCTAAGAATTTAGTTTTTGGTCATCTGAACGCGGTCGGACTACACTAACGCTTTTTAAATGAAATTGACGATTCAAAAGTGCCTGTAATAAGTCTATTTGAACAAAGTTTCATTTCATTGACATAGCCCGAGTAAGCATTCTTTGTCTCTAGTACTAGGAAACAGAAATGAAAAACTCTATATTTTTCTTTGTAACTCACCGCAGCTGTTTCATTTTAAAACGATTAAAGTCAGGCTTTGGAGAGTAAATTTTAAGAATTTATTTCTTAGCATTATAAGTTCACTCTGAAGTTTGTAAGCCGTCTTTAGAGATTTTTCTTTATAATGCGATTATTAACAACATTATTGTTGTTCAGTGGACGGATTCAAAAGGATTTTATAAGAATACTAGCGGCTCACCCTCGCTTGGCTCCGGTTCGCCTATAGATAGACAAAAACGAATCTATCTCACGAAAATCGTACATTTTTTTGGAATAAAAAGTAGGTTATTTGTTATTATGATATATGAACTATTTTATTGTAAAGTTTCATTAAAATCCAATAAGTAGTTTTTGTGTACTAAGCTGTATAAGTTACCATAGTTTTTTAACTATCCCACAAGAACTATTTAATTTTCCGGGATGAAAAATATCTAAAATGTTGACCGGAATATAAAGTACCACATGCAAAATTTCATTTAAATCGGTCTAACAGTTTCGGAGATTAGCCCGTACAAACAGACAAACAGACAGAGAACCAATTTTTATTAAATCTGGATTTGTTCTATTTCTCTTCTAACATCACCCTGACTCGGTTTTTAGTATTTGTTTTATATACAGACATTCGACCTCTGCAGTTTTATTCTATAGTATAGATTAATGTAATAAATCAGCAAATAAAATAAATGCAAAAAATGTTTTTTTTTTCAAAATTCAGTTACGTCACTTACGATCCATTTTCAATAAAATGTATTATTAGGTACCCAAGTATTTTGTTACAAAGATTACCATAAGTAAATTAGTTAAGTTTTCTTTCGAAAGAAAACTTCTCAAAGAGACAATAATTTATTTATTTATTTAAATCACGCATTTTTGGTATGGCACCTCTTCATTTAAAACTTAAGAGGTTTTATTAATTATAGGATTAGATATTCCAAAATAAGTTGGGGCGACCTTTGGCGTCCAGCCAGGAAACGAACGCTGAACAAAGAGAAACGTACCTAATGAAGTCATAAAATTAACATTCTTGCCGTGACTGTACAAAAACCTTCAAGTGTTATGAAGATGGTGCCAAAAACAACAAAAGGTACCGCCAAGGCCGCTTTGGAAGTCTTACTTTGTTTACAAATATCTTGTTTTGACAATTCTATTACAAATTAAGCTATCCAATTTGCCATTGTTAATAATTACGTGTGACATCTGGCTCAATTCAAATCGAAACGAAAGCGAAATAATTTTGCATTCATTGCGCTATCTGCAACGGAGCACATGCGAAGTGGAAACGTATTCATAAAAGATTATATTCCATTAATGCGCACTCACGGGTGTTAAAAATCGTTGATGGAATCTCAAACAATATGCACATTCTGCACGAGCGTTGTAATCGAATCGTATTCATACGAGTGTGTGGAAAATAGAATTCGCCCTGATGTATTAAATACTGTAAGTATCAATTGTTAAAGTATCTAATCTGAACCTAAAGTTGTGTAAAACCATCATACGTTTTTAAAGTAAAAAATGTACATATATATATATATATATATATATATATATATATATATATATATATATATATATATATATATATATACTTTATTGCACTAAACAAGTAATAACAAAAAAAATACATAGAAAATGACGTGGACAAAGGTGGACTTATCTCTATAAGAGATCTCTTCCAGTCAACCCATGTATGTGGGAAATAGTGTACATTTACACCTTGAGGAAATCGTTTAAAAATCATGTCGAACCACTTTGCGGTTACGGTGTGAAAGAATAAGAAACGATCACAGGTTCGTATTCATAATATAACTAAGGACAATATTGTGTAAGTCGTGTAGTCCTTGAATAAGTATCCATACTACGAATTAGTCATTTTCTATTTAAAGACCAAGTTTATTTTTGTAACTAGCATTGCCTGCGGCTCCGCCCGCGTTCAGATGACCAAAAACCAAATTCTTAGCCTTTACATATTAGTAGGTATACTCTAACATTGCAGTTTTTGTATTTTTTTTCAGAAATGAGATATTTTCCCGCGGTAAAATGTATCCTATATGTTGACCCGGATAACCAGCTACCATCATACCAAATTTCATCAAAATCCCTTCAGTGGTTTTTCCGTGATGCGGTAACAGACAGACAGACCGTCAGATAAAAATTCTAAGAACTATAGATGCGGCCTCTGTATCGATAATGATGTCTATTTCAATAATATTTTCCAAAAAATATATTATGCACAGATTCGACTCAGTTACAATTTTATTATATGTATAGATGACACATCTTAATTCTGGTGTCTACATATAGTGCGGACGCAATAATAGACTAGGTCGTAGAGTACACTCGCTCGTGGCATAATAAAATGCAGACACTAAGTATGCGGGCAATGTAATACATATGTAATTGTATAAGTATGGTTTACAAGAAGATTATTTATTTATGCCCAATAAGTATTGATGGTAATATATTGAGCAAAAATAAATTGTAATTTTATATCTTTATACATCTGCTAGTAAATCTTGTGTCCTTAATATAAATACATAGTAATAAATAATTCAGTAAAAAAAACCTATATTACCGTCAAATCAATCAAGTCAAAAAAACACCTAGGTGTTTAAACTATGAATATACTATTTTAAAAATAATATATATATTCACTCGTACATATATTATCAAAAAATATGACCCTGCTTCAATTTATATAAATAATAACAATATAATATAAATTTGCACGTGGATTTGAAAACAGCTCTGAACAATACTACGTAGTACTTTCTGTCGCAAAATGGGAATTTCTCGGCAATAAACAATGGAATGTTACCAGTTGAAAATTATAAATATGTACAATGAAAAGAATAAACATTACCAGAATCATTTTTATGCTACGTTTTTCATCTCTTTTTCGAATATTTTTAAGGTTCCTTATACATCGTATACATCGTATGATACTACATAAATTAAACCATTAGTCTCCTATGATTAATCCATCTATCGTGTTGTTTCTTAAAAACTATATAGTAAAATCAATCAAATTGGGCAAGTGTCAAGTAAGGAACTTATTTAAACTTTATTAATCCCTCCACGACCGCGGAAACGCCGGCGTGTCAGTTAACAATAGATTTTTTAGAATTTTAATTAATTTCTTAGAAATTTACCTGGAGGCGTTAATAAGTACGTAACAAAAATATACTCTGTCCGATGAAATACCACTTGCCAGATTTTGACAAAAGAGTTTCTGTCTTTCTCTAAATAGTATACAGAGATAGAAGGTTTCAATATTAGTGTTTCCACAGCATATGTTAGTTAAAAAAAAAGAAAAGATAAATTTTTGACGTATTAATCCACTAGCAATGACTAATAAGTGCATAAAGTTATACAATTTTAATGCTTTAACTGAAATGAACTTAAATAAATATATAATGTCTGAATTATGATTATTATATTAGGCGTTAAGAAAGTTGGTCTAAGATGTCGCTTATTTTATCCTGTAACTTTTACTTATAAAATAAGGTAGAAGTAATATTACTACGTAAGACGTAATTTGTTTTTCATTTACATTTTTCTAAGCGTGGCGTGCAAGAAGAACAAGTATCAAGCTTAGATGTTGCCAAATCAAAGCATTCTTCTTCATTCTTTCACATCGAAACACTACGATAGGAATTCGTTTGATCTCTAAGTTGAGCTTTTTTACTCACATTTTATGTGCGATAGTAAAAAATAAAAACTTTTACGATTGTTTTATTATTACTTTCAGAATTATTAGTGGTATAAAACTCAAGTTCATTCTCAAGATTCTCATATATGTATATTACTATATTCTCCTTTTTTAATATTAACCTATTTGTGCCTTTGTGGGATGTACATTATGTATTAATAAAATGAAGGTAAATTAGAGTAAATAATTCAATCAATCAGATTGGGAGACCCTTTTTTGATGAGTTCTTAACAATTGACTCGGGCGGCTAAATTTTATCTTATTATTTTCAATGAACCTGATTTTTTGCTTCAGATACTCACATGATTAGTACCACAGGGTGTTCCTTCTAACGGTGGAGCCCTTTTCGAACGACATACGTGAGGCATAGAACGATGTGCGCACCACAGCCGAGCGCACGCTGACCTCACTTTTACCGATTTGCAAACTGAAAACCTGTAGAAAAAATAAAAATTTAGTAGATACTTAAATGGTAGGTATAATTCTTAGCTAAGTACGTTAAATAACTTTTTCATTTTTCTATGTTATTTATAATGAAAGACAGTAATAATACACCTATTACTCAACAAAATCAGACTATTGGGTGTTAAATCACAGAATATTATGGTTTCTACAATATACACGAGTAGGTAATGTGATATGAAAAATTAAAGAGAATATATATTTTCGGGTTTATTATTTAGCTTGAATAATGTTGTGTTGTTTGACTTTTAAAATTATAATAATAATATTGGTTTTATTTGGTTTCTTGTTTTAGTATTTTATTTTACCAGTATCACAAGACTCAATACAGAATCAACAAGAAAATTGAAAGAATTAAAAAAATGTGTAAAAAACATGTATAAAAAGTATAAGGTTTCCATTTAGATAAATGAGACAATAAACCAATAAGAATTTGAGCGAAACAGAGAGAGCTAGTAAATCAATATATCAATAGACTCTTATCTTTTGTTCGCAATAATTGGGAACATGTTCGACGGAAACGAGACTGATACATATAACTACCTAACGATAGAGTAACTTTTCAATGGGGTGAAAGGGAACAAGGAGGACCCAGGATAGAACTAACACATTGATTAGTTCTTTGGAACATAAAACTTGCTTGGAATTTCAAACACGTCATGATATTTTTAACATACACATTAAAAATATAATTTTATTAGATTTTTTTTTTGATAAAAATTTAATTTGATTATTGTGTTAATTTTTTTTTCTAAAAACCTGATGTCAATAATTATTCCGGAAGCAGCCTTCGCAGATACATATAACATATTTAAAATATTAAAGTTTTCCAGAAGAATTGCAAGAATCTCACAGTAATAATTATGTAAGTTACCTGTGACTCATAAGACGTCCATAATACAAAATTGATGATTATAATCTATACTAATATTATAAAGAGGTAAAGTTTGTGAGTATATGAGGTTGTAGGTCGTAATCTCTGGATCTACTAAACCGATTTAGATGAAATTTGGTAAGAAGATAGTTTAAGACCCTAGAAAGGACATAGGATACTTTTTTTATCCCGGAAATCATCCCTTAAGAGGGTGAAAATGGGGATGAAAGCTTGTATGGGGAATTAAGCTAGGGACAAACCCGAGCGAAGCGAGGGTGAGTCGCTGGTGTATAATAATGTTAAGAATACTTGTAAACTATTACTAATTTAATATAAATATTTAAATAATAATTATTAATATTAACTTTGAAAATATGAGCGAGTGTATATTACCAATACTTTTACAGATTTCAATCTATAAGCACAATGAACGTACAAATTACAATACTATTAAAACGATCTATAACAAAACCAATTACTTAGACGCAGTCAATCAAAAGATCAAATAGAGAATATAAATCATGAGTTCGTTATCGGAGTGTGGAGTTATCGCAGAAAACGAGCGGCATCTGCTTTATATTATCGTATGAACTATGGTAGCTGAATTCGTTTATTCAATATTATTTCAGACCAAAATTGGAAATAATATTTTTTGTAATAAGATTTTTTGTCATAAAAGGAAATTTATAAGGTTTTCCTAAGTCTTTATGTAATCCACCTCTTAACTTCAAAGTGTTCAATACCGAGAAGTTAAAGAAGAAGTTAGAAGTTAAAGAGTATTATGGTGTTTTATAATAAATATTAAATATCATTCAAATTTAATATATAATTTATGTTACTTTTATATACATACATATGTACATTAGGATAAAAAAGGATTTCAGTAAAACCTAAAATTTGTCAAATGTATTAAAATGGAGAAAGTTCGAATGTTTGAAGTTATAAAGATTATATTAGTGCCTTGAGGTCTTGATTTCTAATCCCGACTTAACCCTTAATATTTATAGGGTTTTCCTGCCTGGAGATTAGAGCTTTCTCGCTTAAGGGCATAATCTAAGTATGTATGGCCATAATCGAAATCGGTTAAAAGGACATTATTATTAGAGACATATACATGGATACTTATTTTTGCAACATTGTCAGATCTTTATACAATAAAATATTGTTTGCCGAAAATCAATCAGCTCATAACTCTGATATATGACATATATAATATCATGACTAGTTACAATTAGACAAATTACTTGTTTATTGGATTCATTTGTGACTTCAGACAATAAGGAGCTAATAACTATAAGTTTTAAAATATAAACAAGCAGTTAGGAAGAAGCAAGTAGAAACTTAAAAGCTTTCCTGGCTTCAGTAAATAAAGTTATTATAAAGTTAAAACGCTTGCGACCACTTTGCTTTTAACATAGAAGTATAACCAATAAAGTTGCTAAAACAAATATAAAAGTTTACTTTTTGTTATAAATATATTTTTTTCGGTTGCTCCCTGCATTTCTTCAACCAATGCAGGATATACAGAATGTCAAGACAAGGGTATCTCGTTATTTTAATGGATGGCCATAGGATCGAATTCTATAAGATATAATTTAATACTTCCTTTTGTTATACTTTGTGGTAGTTTGATTGTAAGTAAAGTATGATAGATTTTTCTCATTTTCGCTTAAAGCTTAGTAATGCAAGAAATCCTTGATACTCGTCTCCAACGATCCTTGTTTATGACCTGCATTAATCATTTGCGTAAGCTTTATGTAAATATAAATATAATTATATGAGCCTGTAGACAATGCAAGCTTATTAAAATGAACTTTAAAAAAAATGATAGGTATATGTTATATTAATAATTATAGTTATTTAATGTTTAACTAATAACAGGTATTCGCTTCACTAAGACTCCGACTTGATACCGAAGTAAAAAGAAGTTCATATTACTCTTCTTTCTTTTCTATCTGGCTTAATTTTTTTCTGCATCAAGTCTTTTAAATAATTGTAAATTAAAAATTAAAAAATACGCAAATTAATTGTGACTTAACAGTTACACTGGCACACGTGAAGCACTTAATCTAGTAATCATAAGCCAAAATGCCTTACATCATTTTGGAAAAGAGCTGATACTGTTGCACTGCTGGACTGATATTAACTAAACATAGCTAAGAACCACCGCAAGGAAACTGGCTTTCAAATGAAAAAACCGTATCAAAATCGGTCCATCCGTTTGATAGCTACGATGCCACAGACAGACATCGACGTCAAACTTATAACACCCCTCTTTTTGGGTCGGGTAACCCCCGACGCAAAAAGTACTTCTGAAAGGTGACACAGGTAAAGCAAATAATATTACAGTTAAGATACCATAAAATATACAAAAGTGTGCAATAACATTTGTAACACGATTTAAGCTAAATATATTCAGTATTGTACTATAATGCATCATTTCATTTACGACTAACGTATTCGATGTTTACATTAATGAATCGATGGTGGCCGCTGAACGAATATCGATGATTTTACTTTTGAAAAAATGGAACAATATGATAATACTACAGATTATGTTCAATCTTTACATTTCTTATACCTTCATATATTTAGCATACAGGCAAAGCCGCAGACCTAGGGCTAATGTCGTCTATCGCCACTACGTGAAATAAAGTTTTATAACTTTTTAATATTTTGACACTAAATTCATTTGGACTTTGGATAGTCACTCTATAAGCCAAGCTTTGAAATTGATTGGATTCTCAGTAAACGGATTATTGGAAAATCGTCAATGCTCGTCGTTACTCCGTTATATTCATACATTTCCATATCAAACTGAAATAAATATATAATAGATACTTATATTTATTTTAGTTTGATATGTATACATCTATACTAATATTATAAAGACGTAAAGTTTGTGAGATTGTGAGCTTGTGACGTTATAAGGGGTAATCTCTGGATCTACTGAACCGATTTAGATGAAATTTGGTAAGAAGATAGTTTGAAACCCCTGGAAGGCCATAGGATACTTTTTATCCCGGAAATTGTCCCTTAAGGGGGTGAAAGTGGGGATGAAAGTTTGTATTGAGTATCAAGCTAGGGACGAACACGAGCGAAACGAGGGTGAGTGGCTAGTAAGTGATAGGTATACCTCAAAATAATTGCCTGCGGTTTATAATAATCTGTACACATGATAAAATTCTGACTGAGTCGAATCTGTACATTAAATATTTAATATTTTTTTTGTTTACAAAACTAGTTTTTTTATTTGTTAGGATGAAATAATACAAATATTTTGTGATAACAATTACAGGCTATAATATAATCTATTTTATTATTTAAAAAAGCTCATTAAAGGTAAACAGACAGAAATGCGAATGGTATATATATGATATACTATATATGGTATATATCTGAAAACTGAACCCAAAATTAAAGAAAAGGTAAAGTATTTTTATCAAGAACATTAAAAACATTTTTATACTCAATATAATAATTATATAAATATACTAGCAGATCCCGCGGCTTCGCTCGCGCTAAAACTACGAAAAAATTTCTAAAAATATAGTTTCATACAAACTTTCATCCCCTATTTCAGCCCCTTATAGGATGAATTTTGAAAAATGCTAAGACACGTATTTATTTAACTTTATTGAAGAGTATATAATATACCAAGTTCCAAGTAATTCTGATAATAAATAATTTTTTTTGGATTGTAATATTACGTGTTTTCCCAACTATCTTCACACAAAAAATCACGCTAATCCGTCAATCCGTTTTCAAGTGAAAGAAGGACAGACAAACAAACAAACAAACAAACAAACACGTTTTCACATTTATAATATTAGTGTGAATTTGAAGAAAAAATTTAGATCTATTTACTAAAAAACAAGCTTAAGTCTTAATAATAATATTCAGTACCTATAGCTTTGGCTTTCAGTTTAAAATGAAAATGAATCCTTTCATAAAACATTCAATAATATGATCATTGCAGTAACGACAATCTGATTGAAAATAATTTTCTCCATAAAATCTTTCTGACAACGACTGCCCGATTGCGACCTTGTGATTTCATTAATAAAAGATGGGCTGAATTGAATTATGCCAGATGAAACCACACAGCCTGATTTTAGCGTATCGTAATACCTAATAAAAGATTTTTCTCATTATGTACTATACTAGCAGAACCCGCGGCTTCGCTCGCGCTAAAACTACAAAAAAATCTTTAAAAAGGTAGTTTCATACAAAAATTTATACCCTAAAACACGTATTTATTTAATTATATTGAAGAGTATTAATACCAAGTTTCAAGTAATTCTGATAATAAATATTTTTTGGACTGTATTATAACGTGTTTTCCCGCGGGAATTAAGTAATATCCCGCGATAAAAAATAGCCTGTCACTCTTTAGCCCTCCAACTATCTCCACCAAAAAATCACGCCAATCCGTTACTCCGTTTTGACGTGAAAGAAGGACAAACAAACAAGCAAACAGAAACAAACATACTTTTACATTTATAATATTAAGTATGGATTTTTTATTATATATGAGTGTTAATTTTGCGAAATGAACACCTAACTAGAATATTATTGTCATTATGACTAATTTGATTCTTTTAAAGGCTAAATTAATAAAATCTATATTCACACTATTTGTCGAAACGATAGATAATTATGTTTCATATATTTGATATTAAAATTTAAAAATGAATAAAAACAATGGACCTCTTCAAAGGGAAATACTGCGATTTTAGTGATTAAAGAGTTTAATAATAACTAGTATAGTATTATATGATATGTGATAATACTTTCTTAAATTTACGCAAATATTTGACACTAGCGGCTCACCGTCACTGCGCTCGGGTTCGCCTCTAGAAAAACAAAAACAAATCTATCCCTCGGGAACCGTACATTTTTCCGGGATAAAAAGTAGCCTATGTGTTATTCTAGACTATAATCTATCTCTGTGCCAAATTTTATCCAGATCCGTTCAGCCGTTCTTGCGTGAAAGAGTAACAAACATACATCCACACTACATTCTTACAAACTTTTGCGTTTATAATATTAATAGGATTTTAAATAAAACTAACTATTCGTTTTCTTTTATTTAAATTAATTTTGTTATTTTATGGGTAAGCTGTCTGTAACAACTACATATATAATATATGCCTTTGAGACAGCTAAAACCTTAATCTCTCCCGTGATCATGATTGCTGTAAAGCATTCGAAACGTCGGGAACCAAAAATCAAAATAAATCCGTGAAAGAATCCGAAAAAATAGTTTTATTTAAAATAAAGTGTTTAATGTTTATCCTTACGACGATTAGGTGCCGGTTTTTTTTTATTCGCCCGATATACGGACGAGTAATTTGTTTGATAAATATGTGTGTTTGAGTCACATGCTTTAAATGCATTAAAAATGTCCTCGTAAACTTTTACGTACATAAATACGTACGTTTTGTAATTTACAAAAAAAAACATTTATTAATTTCCTTTGATTATGCAACTTTAAATTTAAAACTTCTCTACTGGATTGTTTTTTGTATATAATTTCCGGGGCGCTTCAATTTGAAGGCGACGATGACGGTTGTAGATTTCGGTGAAAGACAATGAACACTAAGGATTTTTTTATATTTTGTTTAGCTTTTCGGATATTAATAGTTAAAATCTTTTTTTGATTTTAGAATTGAAATCGAGCAGCTTTTTAGGGCCCAAAGTAGATGTACATTTTCGACCAATAGTACTTTTTTATCCCTGCCATAATTGTAGATAAGATTATCAACAATTTTGATTCAGAATACTGTTCAAAATGTGTTCAATATATTCAGAATATTTTTTATTTATTTATGCACATAATGCTAAAAAGTTAACAAAACCAGAAATATTTACTATTAAATGCTTACCAAAATAAATATTATGTATATAACATCTTCCTGGAGATATTTATAAAATGTTTTCTCTCAGAACTTCGCCGTATTTCTAGTAGGTATTTACTTATAAATGCAACATCAACTTGGCAAACAAACCGTAGATTTTACCTCAGCAGGAAAAAGATTATAAATATTTTGACATAATTATTTCAACACATTTGTTTAGAGTACTAAGAGTATTTGTTTCAAAGGAATCTTTTGAACATCATAATATACTTACTTGCTTGTTTTCCATGTTTACAGAGACCTCTGAGAGGCTAAAGGCTTCGTTCGAAGTTTGCTGCTTAATGTTTCTTATATTTTTCTTACATGTAAAAGTTAAACCATCTCCTCAAGTGGAAAAAATATATATTTATTTGTCCTTTTGCACACTATTATCTCAGTCTTATTTAAGCTCAAAATGTTGAACTTTGCATTAGATGAGTAATCATTGTATTTTAACTATTATTATTGTACAGAACAAGGAAAATTAAGGAAGAATTTTATAACTAAGCTTTTCATAAGCTTAAGCTTTATAACTTCTCCATTTATACTGACTAAAAGCTTATATTACAATCATTGTTATTATTAAAATTATGACAAAGAATACAAGAAGCATGAAAATTTCCATAGTTTCCTGGACACAAGTGCGCACATTTTTTACAGACGATTTTTTAATATTCACCCTCTGAAGGACATAGGAAGTTCGTATGGAAGTGCATCATTTATTTTGCGAAATATGTATGGGATATCAGTTTGTGAATACATAAAACAAAAAATAATTTAATCCTCCATATTGTGGGAATATCATAATTAATTCCTAGAAAAAAAATATCTTTGAGAGTTCTATGGTACGGATATCATGATATAATGGCTATTTAATGAATTCTAGTTTCTTTACAATAATGATTAAAATATTTAGCCCAGGACTAGAAGTAAGATCAATGCTAACCATTAAAACCCACCTAGGGACGAACCCGAGTGAAGCGAGGGTAAGCCGCTAGTATTATTATATAAACAAAATAAAAAATAACACTTACCCTTCACCAAATTCCGTTCGGCATTGCTCATCCATAGTAAATACGTAATTAGACAGCTCCTTAGCTCCTCCTAATTCCACGCCCTCGTCTTGGCTGCGCTGTTGAAGGCACCACCATTTCCTGTACAGGTTTAATGAATCAAACATTAACAGTTATAATATTGTCGCGTAGTGGAGACTGTGTAACGTCATTACACCAAAAATAATAATAAAAAGTGGCACATCTGAAGCATGCTTTATACATTCTAAGTCAGTTATCAACACTTGTAACGCGCTCGCTTGGGAAACCGAGTAAAGCGAGTTCAAATCCCGGGTCTCACAACTCTGATATTTTCATGTGCGAATCATTTCCAACATGATTACCACTTGTCTTAACGGTGAAGGAAAACATCGCGAGGAAACCTGCATGTCTGGGAAAACCTAGCAGGTTTTCAAAAGACATGTGAAGTTCGCCAACCCGCACTTAGCCAGCGTGGTGGACTATGGCCTGATTCCCCCCGTACTGAAGGGAGGCCCGTGCCCAGCAGTGGGACGTTAAAAAGGGCTGATATCAACACATGGCAATAACAGACAAAAATAGCTTTGTAAATTACCGTGTGTAAGAGAGGATCAAAATATTTTCCGAAAGTAATTGAAATTAGAAAAGATTCGAAGTCTTTGTTTATGCATATAAAAGGGCGGCTTTGTGTAAGTCACACAATTTACCTCAATTTTCATTTCTTTTTTTTTTATTTTCCCTTTACTTGTGTTTTAACCAAAAATAACAATTCTAGGTCAACTGGGTATACCCTATAGGTTTTGGGTTGAAAACCTATATGGTAGTTCCCGTTGACCAAGAATCACGAAATTTGGCCAAAAGACCTTGGTCTTCCAGCACAAATAAAGGAAAAATTTCAAAAAATTAAAAAAGTTGAAAATTAAAGTTAAACAGACTTCCTACAAATTTGTACGGAATCCTCGATGGGCGAGTCCGACTCGCACTTGTCTGGAATTTTCTTCTATTCACGATAACTATAAGTACTAAATACAAAGACTCTGACTGAATAGATGACATGATAGAATATTTTTATAACATTATATATCAAAGCAAGATTATCATTATGTACGATTCGAAATCTCACAAAGCTTCTTTTATAGAGTCATCTTATTTTATCACTCAATGACGACGAATCGTTTCGATCCAGAAACCTTTAAACAAAATGAAATACCAGATATAAAGCTTTAAGATTCTGGAATGATTTTTATGTCTTGTATGTAATATCAATAATTCTGTTATTGTAAATGGCCACGGCATATAAAATAAGTAGACAAGTCAAAGTTGCTTCTGTGATGAAATCATTTTGTTAAAAACATTTTTCTAGATAACAATCTCATACCTGTTTAAATAGGATCGGCACTATTTATTTTTTTAAACTTTAGTTAAGAATCTTTCCGATTAAAGTGGCTTTTAAATAAAAATCGCAATACAAACGGTTCATCCTTACTTCAATCAGGCTCACAGATAGGCTTAAATTAACGCTTTTGTTGATGTCAGATATTATTAATTTTTTCAAACTTTTTTGATTAGTAACTTAAGTCATATTATTTTGTTAAGATAATAATATTACTAATGACCTTTAAACTCGAAAATTACATTAGTATGTGTTAATATTTATTGTTGATGAAATAAAGAAAATCATTAATATTTAAAATCTGTTAACAAATAATAAAAATATATTCTTATCCTTCTCTATCTCTTATCCTAATATTCTCATCTTTTTTATGTCGGGTAAGAATATATTTTACTTATCTATTGTAATTATTGTTTTAACTGTTTATAACCTAACTATTTTTAGAAAGACACTTGCACTTGGCCAGTATGAAGACTGGCCAAGTGCGGGTCGTCTTTCCCGCACTTCTCCCCTCGCATAGAGGAAAGGCAAGTACCCAGCAGTGGGACCTTAGAAAGGGCTAAATGAGATTACAGTAAAAAGTGATATCTTTTATGCATTCAAAATTCAAAATTCACCTATTTACTCCATGGTAACAAATATTTATACATACACTTACTTAGATTTCTCATGGAATTGTTGCTTCGAGCATGAGGACCAGGCGTAGTTATGCAGCGTAGCGAGGACTGTGGGCGCCATCACTGATCCACGGAGACCTTCTTTTTCGCATTGGTCTTCACCGTCGTGGGTTAAGCCCAACCTACAGACAAACATATTGTGTCTTATAATAAAATATAAATTATTATTAGGTAACCCAACAGACGATGTCCTGTCCCAATTTTAATAAAATCTTTGAGATCCTACCAAAAATTCTATAGGCAAAAGCACTTACTCTACAGGTGCTCTCGTTTGCGAGTAAGGCCAAACCGGGTGAGATACTAATCCATTTGTTAGATCCCACAACACATGTTTGTTTATAGTTTATATATAATATGTACATTGTACATAAATAAGTAAAATCTTTTGTTAATGTTTACACTAAGAATTCGAATAGATAATAATAAGGTAGTAAAGTTTGCTATAAACAAAATATAAATATTCACTTAAAAATTATGTAATAATAAAATCTACTATTTCTTGCAGAACAATGAAAATTAAGTAGGACTATTTACAATTCAAATGTAAAATGGCTGAGCGTCATAAATATTGATAAGGGTTGGATTGCCGCTTTTTATTCAAGTAACCTATTAGCATTACTTGTTTACAACATCATCATATTTTCGATTAAAGCTTTCTTTGTAACCTATTATTATATGATTTTATCAAAGGTAAATGCATACGAGCCTCGGTTATACTTTTAAGCATGTCTATACCGCAAATTTTGCTGCCTAGAATATTTATTTTTAAACCATTTATAGCGCAATACACTAAGTACTTGTAATAGAAGAGATTAGAATGTAGAGTAAATTTATTGCTTTCTGCCTCATAAGATAATAATTACGGCCAGTCAGATTATCTACGGCTACCAAGAAATTTCTGCTTATTTTTTTTTTCAATCCATTACCATGCACGTTTATTTTTTCATATAAAATACAATGTTACCTAAGTAGAAACTGTTTTTTACAATTTTCTAGACCATATTTAACTTTATAATTTATTGGTAGTAATTTTCGTTTTACAAAATATTTTGGTTCCAGTTTTATTTTCCCAGTAAAAATGATTTAATAATTATCAGCTTTTTTAAAGTATTCAAAGGTCTTATTTTATACTGTAGCTTATAAAGTATAAATACATATTAAAAAACACAATTACTGCTTTTATAAACAATCATTACACTGTATATAATTTGTAATGTTTTTAAAATATCGTTTTTTAAACATAATAAAACATTCTGTTCTTAAACCAATCATGTGATTAATAAGGAATCAAATAATCATGGCGATGATTCATATTAAGCTACGCACAATGCCTTTTTATACGTTGAGATGTGATGATGTGCTCGAGTCGTGGCCAATTGCTTTTGCGAACTGATAAAAACCATCAAAGTACCGCCGAGTAAAACTCGCGTGTTATTTATAACTAAAATAATAGTGTCACTCCCAGACTAATTACTGCCAGACGTGTCTCGTTGAATTCATCGGTTTCTGTTTCCAATAAAAGCCTTACGTAATTATGGATTAGGATATTTTCGAGTAAATCGAGTCTCTGTATTAATTGAACTGATAAATAAGAAAGAAAATTCGCTTTTATCAATCTCACATTAATGAAGAACATTGTTACTTAATCATTTCGATAAGCTTTGTCTCTATAGGTTTCGATATTGCTCATTGACTAGTAAATGTGCTAAAAGAAATGAGCTCCTATATTCTTATGAGTTCGTTTATTCGTAATCCGATATCAAATAGAAAAATAAATAGTCTATACTTAACAACTGTGTGCAGCACAAAAAGCGGGTATTAAATATATAATCTAACTCTAGCCGAACCCGCGGTTTCACTCGCGATGAAAATACAAAAAATCTCTAGGTAGTTTCATACAAATTTTCATCCCATATTTTACCCCCTTATAGGATGAATTTCAAAAAATGCTAATAAAACACGTATTTATTTATTTGTATCTGCTCTTCAAGCATTAATATCAAGTTTCAAGTAATTCTGATCAGAAATTTTTTGTTAGATTGTATTATAAAGTGTTTTCACGTTGGGATGACATGATCTCCCGTTATAAAAAGTAGCCTATGTCACTCTCCAGCTCTCTATCTTGACACCAAAAATCACACCAATCCATCACTCCGTTTCGACGTGACAGAAAGACAAACAAACACACAAACAAACAAACACACTTTCACATTAATTGTAATATTACTATGGATAGCTAGATTATTAAAGTTCTAAGACGCAACAATTTAGTAATAATACGTTTTTATAGTAATTGTAATTCAATTATTTTATCTACGAGTTATTTTCATAATTAAAATAATATTTATGTGGGAAATAGTTATATTGTTAATTAAAGAAATTTATTTATAACGCGAGATTTAATTTAATCCGATGTCTTATAAACGTTATGAATGGTTCCGACACTTGAAACGCTGAATTATATTTCTAATCTTTCTTTGAAATCTTTGCTTAATTTGAATTTACAGGCAATCAAAATTTACGAGTATTACTTTATCTAACTAAACATTAAATACTTATAATTACTTCTGGAATACGCTTCGGTTATTTATACAATTTTATTTTTCAGAGATTCAGTTTATTATAGAACTTTAGTTTTATTTTAAGTTTATTTTTAAGTTTACATTTATATTTAGTCTGATTTTAAGGAACTTTAAAGTAAATAATGTTATTAATAGTAAACACTTAAAAGAAAACTTTTTATAAAATGTATTTTTTATTAAAATCTCATCATAAAAAGGTTGTAAAAGTTCAAATGTAACTGGATATAATTGTTGTTTTAATGATCAAGATTACCCAAATTTTAGGCATATTTTGCATATTTTCATTTTTAGTTCAAATTTTATAACAAATACCTAAAAACTAATCTTATCTATTCTTTTTTATCGTTTATGTGATTTTTATATTTAGAGTATGATTCAAGGTAATCTAGATAGTTATACTTCTTCTGTGATGTACTTATTATTGCACAGGATTATGTAAAACAAACCATTTTAAAACAAAATCTTAGTTCAAAAGTTATTTCTTACGAATTAAACAAATAACATTTTCTTGACGACTGTCATAATAATTGGAAATGAAAAGTTCATTTAACTTGTAATGTATGGAATATTTCTACACATTTCGTCGTCATTCTTTCGGCAAATTAATTAAATGAAAGTCATGAAGCTAATTACTCGTGTGTACAACAGAACGTCGAGAATTCTGACCTTTTATTTTCCTGTTAGTAGAAACCGTATTCTCTGCTCTAGATATAAAGATCTTTTTAGATTAAATGGATTAACTTAAGAGACTGTATTTTAGAGTAACTTGTAAGACCTTTTGTTTTGGTAATTATTTTTAGGAAAAGCAAAATCAAATTTTCGAACCTTTGTGGCCTCTGTACAACAATAAATAATTATATGAAGAGAATTTGGTGTTTCTTTGGAAGGAAATTATAAGTTGCTTATAAACAGTTTTTTTTTCTTAAAACACCTCCAGGAAAATTTCTAAGAAATCTATTGTTAACTGTAACGCCGGCGTGCCCGCGGTCGTGGAAGGATTGAACATCTTTCATGAAATTGATAGATAAATAAAAATTATCCATATTAGGTTTTACATTTGTGTTGTTCTTATAGTAAATTTATACTCCTTTACGTAACAGAATCTCGAACTCGTTTATCAAGAAGACAAATAAGGTTTGTTGAAATATGAATTCATCGAGCCATATACAGAAACGGTAATAGAGCCTTATTAAAAAAACAGAACATGCTGTGTGGGAAAGTTCATATGGAGTGCATTACACGCGCGTTTGCTATTTATACTTCTAAAAAATCTGAAAATATTGATTTTAAAAATAAACCTATATAATTATATAATTACTTATAATTTTTACCTGGAAGGTGTTTTAATAAAGAATAAACTATACGTATTAATTCAAGATAAGAGCTGCTCTGAATCAGCGTAAAGAAGTTATAAATGTACACGCAAAAGCGTTTACATCGTGCACTTACTCACTCACTGAGTTAGTACTCATATACTTTCGTAATATAAGCGTGATATCAATTTCAGGTATCATAATTAAGACTTGAAATAAATAAATATCTATAAATATCAAATAACTGAGACTATTAATAATTTGTTGTAACTTTATTTAATTGAATTCAATTAATAATATTATTTACTTCATATTATAAAATAAAGTCCCTTGCCATTTTTTTGTTAAAGGTTACTTAGGTAGGTACATATATAATTTAATTGGATATAAAAATATATTCCTCTTTACGGAATTGTTTTAAGGAATCACCATATCCATACTAATATTATAAATTTAAAAGTGTGTTTGTTTCTTTGTTTGTTTGTTTGTCCTTTTTTCACGTCGAAGCGGAATGACGTAATGGCGATTTTTTTTTGTGTGGAGATAGTTGAAAGGCTGGAGAGTGACATAGACTATTTTTTAACGCAGGAGATTATGTCATTCCCACGAGAAAACACGTTATATAATCTATCCAAAATATTATTTATGGTCAGAATTACTTGAAACTTGGTATGAAACCTCTTTTTTAGAGTTTTTTTTTGTAGTTTTAGCGCGATCGAAGCCGCTAGTATCTATATAAAACGTTCTTGATATTTAAACTACGTCTTTCATAAAACACTGTTATCAGCATCTTACTAAAAGTTTATTCTAAATATAATGTGGCCTCGCTTAAATTGTGTAATTCCCTAGACCCCATGTATTAATTACTCCACGACACGGACTCTATCTGTGTACTAAATTTTATTTTTAGTATATCAATTATCTGGTATCCATAACACAAGCCTCGTAGCTTACCATGGAACTAGATGGTATTTATTTACTTATTATTTTATTTATTTATCCAAATCCGTCCAGCCGTTTAAGCATGAAAACTTAACACACAAACACAATACACATGCCCAACATGCAAACTTTACAATAGTAGTCCGTCTATGATAAGCTTTTGTATCTTTATTGTGCTATATAAGTCACATACATAAATAAACTTGGAATAATCATCAGATAAAAGTTAGCCATCAAATAAATTATGAGCTTATCATATAAAAGAAAAGTGAAACAATAACATTA